GGCATTAAATTAAAATTTATTTATTCATTTATTTATTTATAAGGGCGTTTCTGGTTAATCGGAAACAACGTATCTGTATCCGAGATGATATGTCAGAATGGATAAACGTGACCAGTGGTTTGCATCAAGGCTCGTTTCTGGGACAATTGCTCTTCATACTTCATGTTAATGACAGCCTTCAGGAACTCGACTGCGGCTAAATAACGTTTGCCGACGAAGTTAAAATCTGGCAAGTCAATAAGGATCCGAATGTTCCGAGATCCCTTCAAGATAATCTGCACCAACTGCAAGCGTGGTCGTCTTCTAGATTTCAGTGTGCATAAGTGTGCCGTTCTTCATCTGCGTCCAACGAACTCTCATTCACATTAGAGCCTGAGGACATATTACCTGAAAAATATAAGACTCCCGGCAGAATATTCACAGAAGGGTCCCGGGGTTTGGATACAGAACAACCCGAAACCAACACTGCTGTGCCACAAGGCTGCAAAAACGCCATGAGAGTGCTGCATGCAATCAAAAAGGGCGTTCATAACCTTTAGTCAAGACCTTCTTGGGAGAGTTTACGGCACCTTTGTTCGACCCCACTTATAATATGGCCTACAAATATGACGGCCGTAGCTAGTAACGGACCAAGCATGCCTTAAACGGGTGCAACGTCGGGCAACAAAGCTGGTAAACGGTCTAAAATGTCAATCCTACAAAGACAGGCTGAATTGCCTTAATTTATTCCCATTGTGTTACGGGCAGCAAAGAGGTGACCTTATCCTCGTCTACAAGATACTACATGGCCTAAGCATGGACTTAGCTTTGAGGATATGCTTCAGTACCACCTTTCACCCTATCTCCGTGGTCACCCGATGAAGTTACGGACAATTTTTTCTCTGAGACATCGTTATTCAAACGAATTAAATGCTGCTTTAATAGCGAATATTTTCATTGTTCGTGTACAGTTATTGCTAACGAGCTGACATGTAATCAATGGGGTTTTCAAAGGCCTTGCCTATTATCCGTACCAAATAAACTGTAATAAATTGAAACTGAAAGTTCCTAAAGAGCAACCTACAGGCCTTTGCCCAGTGGTGCCTCACATGGCGCCTT